ATTGTATAAAGAAAAAATTTTTCCTCATACATTGTTGATGGGAGTATAAATTAGTATAATCTTTTTAGAGAGCAGTTTGGTATTATCTATTATCTGTCAAATGTTTTAATGCACATACTCTTTAATTTAGCAATTTTACTTCTAGGGATCTATTCTAGAGCAATACATCTATACATATGGAAGGATATCTGTATACGCTGTTTATAATAGGGAAAAATGGAAACAACCTAAATGTTCATTAATAGGAGAATGGTTAAATAACTTAAGATAATCCATCAACACTATAAAATGCTATGGAGCTGGTCAAAAGAATGAAATCTATACATAATTACATGTATAATACAATTTGTATCACATATTGTTAAATTTAAAAAACAAGTTGCAGAATGGTATAATCTCATTTTTGTGCAAAAGAAAGATAGCTATATTGAGGATGTGTGTGTGTGCGTAATAATGATGTCAAATATTCAGGGTCTAAAAGGATACAACTGTTAAGAGTGATTACCTATGTGGAACAGGACAAGGCAGGGGATGTGAACTGCAGGCAGGGAGAAACTTTTTATATCATACATGTATATATTGTTTGAATTTTTCTATTGGGTATATGTTACTTTTATAATTTCTTAAAACCAGTAGGGAAAAAAGTAATGGAAAAAACCAAAAAGGCTTATTAAAATTTTTGGATAACAAAATATTTCAAAACAAATATGATTCTAAGTATAGTACTTAATACAAAGACAATGGTCCACATAAAATTAAGTACAGAAAACCAACATTTTTAATAAGTATTTGTAATATATGATAAAGTTCTATTCACATCTTTGTTTCAAAATGTTTACCTTGTACCAGATTTAACTACTAGAATCCAAAACTCGAAGTCTTGTTGTACGAATTCTTAAAATATGGAATACTTTTATTCTGAAAAATTTTAGGCTGTACTCCCCTACACAAAAATAAGATCTTGAAAATTCAAAGATGGAAATTATTTCTAATTTATCTAATAGAAATTTTATATACTGAGCTTAGATTATTCATAATTCTGTATTTAGACTAATTGAAGTTGAATTAGTGAGATACTTAATTAGTGAGATATTACAGACCTTACTTCTATTTTTCTTTTGAATCTCTTGTGATCCCTTTCCAGGGTGGCATGTAACAAGGCAATTTAAGACTTGATTCATTATTTTCTCAACATAGAATACTACTTTAAAGCAACAGCATCTTCAACTATAATCTCAGAAACTTTAAATAAAGTAATCTAATGACAATTATTGAAAGTTCATTTCTTTCAAATACTCACTTACTACAGCTGTCTTTGATCTCCTCACTATGTTTATAGTAATGACCAATTTCCTCATCTGTTGTATTTATAGTTTCACGCATCTTACAAATAGTTACTCTGGTTTCTTTAATATCTTCAAAGCATTCTAGAAAAAGGAAATGTTTATGTTCTTAAGGTAGAAATCATAAATTTAAAACAAATACACTAGAAAAACAGGGGTATGGCAACTTACCTAAAAAGAGACGAGCCAGAGAACAGAGAGGAAGCGAGGCTTGAGATGGATAGAGCCCTATACTAAAAAGCAGAGAACCAGGGCCAGGCCCACTCCTAGACATAGAAGCTAAGAAGGATTTGTGTTTGGGATTGAAGAGAAATAAATGTCCCCCGTATCTCACTTTTAACATAAGAGAGCTAGATTATGTGACATCTAAGGTCAATCACATCTTATGATGCTAGGAATCATGTAAATATTTACCCATTTAAGACACTAACATAAAACTGGGGTTTTTGACAAACGTGAGATTTCTATTCATCAATTCCATGTCAATTTATTATTAACTGCACCTTTGACTCACTTGTTACTAGTGATTAAATACAAGATAAAAAATGAAATTATATAATTTCTTCAAAGATTAAAGTAAATTC